AAGAACTCAGTCTCTGACAGCTGACACTGCTTAGTCATCTCTCTCCTGCTGACTTCAGCTGGATTTGGGGTCCTCAGAGCAGGTCCAGGCATCCTTCATTTTAATATCCACCAAGTGCCCACTTGTTCTAGGCACTGAGCTACAACTTGTAAGTTTCTCTTAATTCGTACACCCAACATGTGAGATTGATATGTTCATTATCTTCGTCTTACAAAAGAAGGAACTTACAGCATCACAACATACAAGTGGTGGAATCTAGACTCAAATGAAGATCCTTAGTTGCTGTGATGTGCTGTTTCCAAGGAGGAAAACATTGAAAACTTAACAGTGAAAGACTGTAAAAGCCTCATGTCTGTGAATACTCATGTCCTTATATAAAATGGCATAGTATCTGAACCTGCTCTATACCTATAACATGTAACACATATACACACTTGTCACACAGTTAGGGAATGATGGCAAGAAAAATAGACATTTTAAGTATAGAGACAATTTTTTCTTTTTTCTTTTTGGTTTTTCAGGACATGGTTTCTCTGTGTAGCCCTGGCTGTCCTCAAACTTGCTCTGTAGACCAGGCTGGCATCTAGGCAATTTTTCTTATTCAGTTCAGGTCTGTTCTTGGTTGACTCCACAGTCATGGATCTACTGATATGGAATCCCCTCTGGACTTTGAAAGATGTCAAACTCTACAATCCCCACAGCATCATCTTGTTTCCAGTCTTGTAAAATATTCAACAGAGGAAATAAAATCAATTTTATCCAAATGCATTGATTTTTCCTTCCATCTGATGCTGCTTATGTTTGGGGCTGTATGGTTCTTTGTTGTGGGAGGCTATCTTGTGCATGGTGGAGTGTTTAGCAGCACCCTGGCTTCCTCCTGGCAGGATCCAGAGGGACCCCATATTCCCCCAACTTTAACAACTAACATTGTTTCCAGACATAGACTAGTGTCCTTTGGGAAGCAGACTCCCTACTACTTCTTCCCCCAACTTCTGGAAAGCTCCATAGCATACCCGCCCCCTAATTTTCTTTCTATTGCTGTAATAGATACCACAACCAATAGGAACTTGGGGAGGAGATGGGTTTTTGGCCTACATGTCCAAATCACAGTCCATCACAGAGGGGAGTCAGGGCAAGGACCTGGAGGCAGAGACCACAAAGGAATGCTTCTTCCTGGCTTTCTCCCCAGGACTTGCTCAGTTTACTTTCTTTTACCAGCCAGGATCACCAACCTAGGGGTGGTACTGTCCACATGGATCTTAATCAAGAAAATGCCCCATGGACTTGTTTACAGGCTGATGGAGGCAATTACTCAATTAAGGTTCCCTCTTCCCATATGACTTCAGTTTGTGTCAAACTGAAAATAATAATAATAATAATAATAATAATAACAACAACAACAACAACAATAAAGCTCCAAACCCCCCAAACAAAAAACTAACCAGCAGACCCATGATTTTACCCTGCTTGACTAAGCACCTCCCAAATGTAGTGTGTCCCTAGATTTTGATTCCTGTGCCTCATGGTACCCACTGTTCTTCGTTTTAATGCAAAGGAGTTAGCCCATCTCTGTCTTGCCTTTTTCCTGGTTTATTGTGTTCCTTAAGCCTCCAGGCCCACCCAGCCTTGTGCAGCTTTCCCATGCCATCTTGGCAGCTCGATTTTGCTCTTCTCAGTGGCATACTCTTACTTGTCACGCCATTGACCACTACCCACTTGACTTTGAAATCAAGTGTCAACTCATTCAGAGGTCTTTCCCAGGTGGTTTGGGAGGTGAATGGCTTGTGAGGGCTCTGATGTCATGAATGGATTAATCCATCTATTGAATTGTTGTGATCTGCTCAAAATATTTCCATAGTGTGTAAAACAGAGGTCTTTCAGCTCTCCCCTGCTTGAGAGATTCCACTGTGGTAAGAGACTCCATGTCCTAGGTGGGATTGAGTTCTTTCCTTTAAGTTCCACAGTCTTCGCATAGTCTTCCATCATGCCCCACGTATAAATATCGTATAAATACTATTTACTGTTGAGATAGGGTCTCACTGGGCAGCTCAGGCTGGCCTTGAACTTGTGACCCTACTACCTTAACCTCCTGAGTACTGGGATTATGGTTGTCATCACACCTGGCTTTATCCTTCCTTATAGATGAGATGGTCTCCACAATTTTTTGACGGCAGGGACTGGGTCCTACTGGTTGTCTGACCTCCCAGGTAGACAGGCACAGGTCTGTGGGTGTACCACAAGAGTACATGTGCTTGAGGGTGGGTCAGTGACTGCACCCATTGGGTCCTGAGTGGGCTTTGCAAAACACCAAGTCATTGACACCTCCTCACCAGGTATCTTTGGGACATGCTTTCCCTGCTGGACTCCAGCCGCCCATGTCCCTTCTTGGACTGTAGGAGGTACATGTTGTGTTCTTTACCTCTCAGCATGAACATGATGACATCTGCTCAGTCAGCTTTCCCGGAGTGTTCCTCGTAAGCTTTCTCATTTCAAATCTAAGGAGAAAAACCCCCTTTCCTCCATGTCAGCATTCTTGAAAACCCGTGTTTATTTGTCTATATCACCTTCTTGCTTTGGGGATTGACTTCTTGACCTCTGGGACATCCCTCTAGCCTATGTATTACATCCATCTCTGTAGGCACTTCCTTATTTCTTCTTCGGGAATATTTTAAGCTTTAGGGATATAATTATGTCCTTGGGAGTCCTCTAACTTCACCAGAGTTGTCCAAGATGGTGCCAGTGGACAGATGGAACGGGGCAACTAGAGAAACAAGGGTCAAGTGACAAGACCTTGGTGACCATTTGGTCATGGAGACGGTAGAGATGACTCATACATCTCTGAGTTGTTTGTGCTGGAGATGGAAGATAACCCAGGGCCTGGGATGTGCTAGCCAAGCACTCTACCCCTGAGCTACCCTCGCCCTTTGATTTCGGTTTTGAAATAACTGGATGACGGGTTTCTGCTGTGGAGATGGAAGTCACAGGAGAGGAAGAAGATGAAGGGGAGGTGAAGAGATAATGGACATTGTTTGGGATGTTTCCATGGAGACATGGTGACAAAACACAGGAGGTAATTGGAGATACAGGAAATACGACTCAGGGGGCTGTTGACATGAGGATGGCACCTGAAGCTGAGGGAGTTAGTGAGAGATAACAGTGTGCTTACGGCATGGCCATGGTCAGGGGTGCACAGGAGAATTTGTCCTTGACAAAGACTGAAGGTATAATCAGTGAACTGAGGAAGAAAGCCAGGAGAAAAACTTGAATCAGAGGCCACTAGGGATGCTAGTTTGAGGATGAGAAGGGACGCTCAGAAAGCTTAAGCGATGTAGAGACATCAGTTCAGGACAGAAGAATATCCACTGAATTAGCATGAAGACCACTGGGAACCATGGGGAGGGCGCTTTTAGCCCAAAGGAGGAGGAGGAGGAGGAGGAGGAGGAGGAGGAGGAGGAGGAGGAGGAGGCTGCTAGAGACAGATTGTAGAGGTGGAGGAGGGGGTGGGCAAAGAAGGAATAGGCTTCTAGAGGGGGATCCCTCATCTGTTCACCAGACCCATCCCGGGTCCTGGGATACAGTAATGGGAAAAGAGGCAAACATTCCTTTCTTTATCTTGTGGATGTTCTAAGGAGTCTGCACAGAGATATTATGGTTTGGATATTAAATATCCTCCCCAAACTCAAGTGCTGAATGTTTGACCCCCATTGTAGCAATTTAGAAGAAGAGGCTTGTGGGGGTAGAAGTGATTGGCTCAGGAGGGCTCAGATCTCATCAATGGATTCATCGCTCAATGGGCTTCCAGGGGAGTGGCTTTGTCACCCATTCTATCAGTCTTTCTCTTCAGCTGCCATAACATGAACAGCATTGACTCACCACACTCTCTGCTGTGGTGAACTGTGCCAGCAGAGGCCCCCAAACAGGGCCAAGTGACCGTGAATCAAAAATTCTGAAACAGGCAAAACCAGACAGACAGGCAAACTTCCTAGAAGCTGATTTTCTTGCACATTTTGTCACAGAGGCAGGAGGCTGATTCACATAAAAAGATTCATTTTAAAGGCTGATTCGAATCACTGTCTAACGGGCGAGCAAGCCTAAAGAGGCTGGTTTCGAACTTGCCCCACCCTGCCCTGCTTCCCCCTGAACTTTTGACTTGCTCCTTATGCCTCCTCAATGGGAAGATCATGGGGCAGGTGGAGAAGAATATAGGCATGAAGTGCACAGTTGTACAGCTGTCTGAGCTGGTGAAGGCTCCCCCCCCCCCCCCCCCCCCCGCCCCATCATTTAGCTCTTGCTGAGGCCCAGAGGTATACTGCTCTAGCTCCCCACTGCCCACAACTCTAGGATTGGATTTTCCCCTCGACTGGGGCCGACCCATCCCTCTCTCCTCTCATTGGAGGTAGGTAGATGAACCTAAGCAATCAATCTCCCATGAGACATGATGCTGGAAAGAGTGACGTCAGTCAGAGGTCCAAATGGATTGGTTGTTTTCTCCAAAGCTAGTTGCTCTTTGACACTTGTAACTGAGAGGCTGACCAGCACAGCTGCCCTGGATGTGGTGTGTGTAAGATACATTGTTTAGTTCAGCAGGTTCTGCCGACTCCAGGGGCTCCTGCTGTGCGGCCCTGTTTGCACTTTGGTGGGGCTAGCCCAGCAGGGGATGGAGGGACAAATAAGACAGGAGCTTACAATGCTGAGGAGAAGGTAATAGCTACTTGGTACAAAAGAATCACTGTCAACAAAGGTTTTTCCTTTATGTCTCTTAAGCTATAATTGTGGAGAACTGGAAGCTATCAATTCAAGGGGATGTTCAGAGCTCGGTCTGAGTGAGAGAGACAGTCTATGTAACTGCAAGCTTAGAGGAGTGAGTTGGGAGCAGAGGGAGGTGGATTGTGGATTCCTTCTGACACTTTCTTCTGGAGACTGTGCCAGTGGGGAGGGGCAGCAGATAGTCTGGGGAGCTGTGGTTGTACTGAGTGTGTTAGTTCAAGCTCTTCACGTACCTTTCCCATGCCAGCATGGGCATGTCCCAGCTTGATCACCACAGGAAAATGCGGGGCTGTGAGCTGAAAGACACAAGAGGAAATCACTCATTAGTAATCTCAGAGCATTGCCACAGGGCTGTCTGCTCTGTAGAAAGATTCGCTCACAGAATGCTGTCAGGGATCCCCACTGAAAGCTCAGCAGGTGTTAGCCCTGTGCTATGGCTCCAATACACCCGTGCACATCTGAGCTCTCAGAACAGCTTGCCTGGGAGCACCCAACAGTCTGTAGAGACAGAGGTGCTCCAGACAACTGATTCAGAATTCTGGCTTTACCACAGCGCAGCTGCAGGCAAGGCATTACATGGATCCCTGCCCATTTCCTTATCTGCAAAAACGGGGAAGATAATACCAGTGATCATACAATGGGAGGGGCATGAAAATGGCAGGAATTCTTTTTAAAGTGACTTTACTAGTTTATGTTCATGGGTGCTTTCCCCACATGTACGTGTGTGCCCCACATGTGTGCCTGCTGTCCACAGAAGCCAGAAGAGGACACTGGATGTTGGGAATTGAATCCAGGTCCTCTGGAAGAGCAGCCAATGCTCTTAACCACTGAGCCATCTCTTCAGTCCCATGTCAGGAATTCTAAAACTGTGAGTTCAGAGAATGGCAGCTTCATTGTTCCCAGCACACTTCTGCCTCCAAGAATGAGTCTCCTCACCACTCCGGGCCTTCTTTAGACCACTGCAGGAGCTCATGTCCTCTCTGCTGCTAGCATTGATCGCTTATACCCTACGGGCAAGGCGTGTCTCCTGGCGGTGGCCTCTTGGGAGCATCCCACTGTTTTCCAGGCAACTGCCCTTGCCTGCCTGGTGCCCTGTTCCATTGCCGGGCTCTCAGACACTTCTATTCCCAACACGAGGCTGAGTATAAAATCTGGGCTTTGATCTGTTCCACCAGCAACATTTCTCCAGGCGTGTGTGCATCTCGCCCTTTGATACAAATGAGGAGATCTGAGAGGAAAGCCTGAGAGGAAGCAGGGTTCACATGACACTTGGACTTGTTTCTTTCACGTCACTCTCTTAGTCGTCTGAAGGGTGTTTGCTTGGTTTGTAGGAGTCTATTCTCTTGAGGTCAAAGTTTATCTCTCCTTGTTACACAGTAATGACGTCAGTCTCTTCCTTTCGGATCAGTCTGTCCCTCAACAGGGGTCATCACATTCCCTTCTCTAGGCTGTGCAGATAGTCTGTCACCCTGTCCTGCGTTGTTCCCACAATGCACTTGTCCTCATGTATCAGGGGCCCCCAGAGAGCTCAGCTTTTCCCTCTGGGTGTCTACTACAGTCTTGCCCAAAGGCCATCTGTGGATCACAAAACCACCGAATGAACTCAATTGTAGACTTGGTTGTATTAAGGGACACCTAGGAGATTGACGAAGCACACTTCTGAGTGTGTTTGTGAGTGTATTTCCACAGGCGACCACATCATGAGACTGTGACCTAATGGATGGACCAATCCCTCGGTGGACTCGAAACAGGGCGGCACAGCTGGGAGGTGGGTCCTTGTTGGGGGAAGTGCTGCCCTGGCCCCTCCATATCAGAGTGCCATTCTGTTTCCTCTCTATGATGACGTGAGCTGTTGCTGCACCCCACGATGGACTGACCCAGATGAAGCTGTGAAGCACGGCAGACCCTCCTTCCATTGGGCTGTGTCTGTCAAGTACTGTCTCACAAAGATGAGAGAGGAGAAAAAGCAAGGTATACTCATCTCCTCACACTCCCACAATGCCCCTGGAGGCAATCTGGAAAGGTACTCATTTATTATTATTATTATTATTATTATTATTATTATTATTATTATTACTTAAGCATTTTACAGATAAGAAAATTTTGCCAGCTGAGAGCTGAAGACTTAAACTGGATTCTGTAATCCCCAAACTCAGTTTGAATAATTTCCTCCTTATTTCAGGCTAAATATTACCATACTCCTGTACTCAAGGTGAACCAATTTATCTTTTTAAATAAAGAAGTAACATTTGATTTTGATACCAAAAGCAATATGCACTCAATGCAAAAGTTTGGAAACTGCAGTAAGTTGTTCAGGGTAAAAAGGGCAATAACAGGTGTCCCAGACTTCTGTCTGCTAGTCGGGAAAAAGGCCCTATAGTTGTGTTTTTATTTGTTCTGTTTTTTTATGAAATTGAGAACCTAGTGCATACCCAATTTTGTTTCCCACTCTTTGCACCTAATAATAAGCGGCAAGAGCGTTTCTGGTGGTTATTGTTTGTTGGTTTAACGGTTATAAGGTATTTCCCATCTGAAAGAGACTTCAAGAGCAGCGCTGGGACATCACGTTGGTGAAAGAAAACGCTGCCCACGCAGCTGAAGGCCATGATGTAATTCTTCCCTTGATGTAACCTGTTTTCTCCCACCCTAGAGGGAACTGGTGTATGGATCCTGTGTTTATTCTTCCCCTGCATTTATTCATAATCTTACTATCATATAATTCCTAATTGTGCTTTAAAACACATTCTTTCACAATTTCATATACATATGCACACACATGCACACACATGCACACACATGTACACACACACAGACTTGCACACTTAGACTATATCCCCCCTATTTTTTTCCACCCCTTCTTCCTCTCAAGTCCTTCACCTACTTGCAAGTCTTTCTATTTGTTTGGGACACACTGCGTGTAATTAGGGTTGCCAGAGCATAGGTGGGGGAGCCATTTATTTGAACAAGGCTCTCCAGGGCCCGCACCACTGAGGACTATGATTCTCTCACCCCTAACCTTGAATTGCCTACAGCTCCTCAGGGAGGGGTGGGGCCTCTGAGCCTCCCCCCATGTGCAGATCCAGGACACCTCCTTTCATTTCTGGAGGTCAAATGACTTTCTACAGAAACCTGTCACCACGTCTCCAAATTCTGCCTGTCGCTCTTTGAAAAGCTCCAAGTCTAGCCCCTTGGAGATAAAATACTAGTTCAAAGGACAGGTGCACAGAAGTGTTTAGTGGAATTTTGGTTGCGGTAGCAGGGAAGCAGGGGGAGAAGGAGGTGGAGAGAGAGAACCATACACATGTCCGTTCATTAGCAGGAAGTGGTTAAAGTGTCGCGGGACAGGTGTGCATGGAATACGGTGCAGCTGTTGCAATGACTGGGTTAGACTGTGTCTGTCACAGTGGAGGGAGTGTGCATGATATAATATGTAGAGTTAGAGTGTGCAGAGACGTGGCTCAGTGGTAAATCAGGCCCTGGATTCCATCTCCAGCACTGCAAAAGTAAGTGATAAGAGCTGTTTTTGAAAAAAAGAAACATCAGCAACTATCTATGTGCAACAAGTGTGTAAAGAGACATGTGCTGAGCGAGGGGCAGAGTACACTAGGCAGGTGAGATTGGTCACCAGGGCATGAAGAGGTAAGGCAAGAGACGCCGGGAAAATGTACGACGAAAGCAGGAAGATGGTGACGTGCTTGCTGCAGTGATGGCTGAGTGTGATGCCTATGCCAGGTAACAAAAGATCCCTGATGGGGATGCACTCAATGAGTGCCTCACACTGGTCAGATTGATAAACTGCCAGTCTCCCGAGGTTGGGGAAGCCACAGGCCCTAGGGAAGATCTAACACAATTATTTTGCTATATGAACATGACGTCAAACTGCCTGTTTATACCCGTAGATCAGTGCTGCCCCAGCCTTGCTCAGAGAAGCCTTTGTCTACGGTGGGTGACAGTTAAAGCAGGAACTGATCGAATGCTAAGAATAAGAGTGGAGCTCAGCCCTAAGTGTGACATCCATGTCACCCTCTGAGGCTCAGGGAACATCATGGAAAGGATTCAAGAGCTAGAGGATGGGGAGAAGTGAAAAGCTGTCTCCTGGACATATGACTGTTGCACCCCCACGAACTCACAGGAGCAGCGGCTACTGCACAAAGCTCATGACAACCTCTCCCTGACTGAGACAGATGATTTTCCAGCCAGGAACAGAACCTGGGACCTCTTGTGCAATGTGCCTTAGCATTCTTTCCTTCCCCGGCATTACAGACCGGGAACAAGTCACTCGGCACAGACCCACGGCCACCCATCTCTTCCGCCATGTTTCCTTCCCCAGCATTGCAGACAGGGAACGAGTCACTTGGCACAGATCCATGATACCCATCTCTCCTGCCGTGCTCCTTCCCGTCCGCACTGTTGCTATGGATCCCAAAGGCCATTCCTATTTCCATCCCTCTGCCACATGCCGGCCCCTCCCCAAACACAGACAGGTCACGGAGGACAGAAAACATCTTGTTGGCTAGGCTATTTTTTTCTCTTCCCTTCACAACAATAGCTTTATTTAGTTTCCTTGGGGATGGCTTCTCAGGGACCCTTTTCCCGGTCCCATGGCCCCAGACACTCCAGAGTTCAGCGCTGCCCCATGGCAAGAGGCCTGACATCCTGTTAGAAAGGGGACAGATCCATCTTTGAAAAGAGATTCTCCACCCTGATAAGGCCTTATTCAAAAGTACCCAAATAAGCTAAAATAAGTGGGGCGGCCCTGTGTTCTTGCAGGGTGTTCCCTTGGGAAGATCAGAGTCCAACAGGCTGAGCCAAGGCCAGCATTCTATCAACTGCATCCTCAAGCTGAAGCTGGAACTGAAACAATACAGCGGGCACTTGGGATGGCCCTATGCAGCTTCCCACCCAAGGCATTCCCTCTATGCTCTGGATAGTGGAGATTTAAGTATGTGAAGAACTGGATCCTTGCTGAGCCATTGCTGTGACTCGAGTGTGTCTCCAAGGGTTCATGGAGGAGGCCTAGTCTCCAGCTTTGTGTTGAGGTGGCAGGACCTTTAAGATGTGGAGCCTCGTTGGCTAGGTCTTTGGAGAGGGTTCTAACCAGTTTTGTGGGGCATGCTCTGCAAGACTGGGTTGGTGTAAGAGCTCAAACCGGGGCCTCCTCTGCTGCTTCGGCTCCCCACCTCACCAAATGATTACACGCTGTTCTGACTGATTTTTTTGTCAGTTTGACACAAACTAGAGTCATCTGGGAAAGGGAGCTACAGCTGAGGAATTGCCTCCCTCAGACCGGCCTGTA